TTTTTTTTTTTTTCTCTGAATCCGTTGGATACGTTAAAGTTGAGCAGGGAAGGCTCATTAATAGCCGCGGGAAAGACAAATACAAAATGGCGGGACAACCCGTCGCGTATTTAAGACGTTCATACTCGCTCTTAGATTGTGACAGGTGTTAATTTAAGGGCATAATCTTTGATTTGATGGTAGCAGTAGCTGGCGACTACACACGTGGTTGATGAAGATAGAAGGGATTGGGTTTCGATTCGTAGACCTGCGAGTGCGGCTGCAAATTAATGCCTGATGGTTTGAAATCGAAACGGTTGGGGAAAGGGAGAATTTCTCAATACTGTTCACCGGCAGAGGAACAAGGCAATGCCAAAGGAGTTGTTTAACTTTCTTTCTATTTTTGTAACGAAACCATTTCTTTTTTAATTTTATTTTTCCTCTTTTTCTTTCTTTTTATCAAGTAAAAGTTTGCCCTTCACAGTTTTTTTCCCAAACTGTGTGCAATAGTAAGTAACTACTAACTAGAAATAAGGTAATGTGAATATGTTATTCTATTTGGCTTCTCTCGTGAATAAATTGAATTGAATATCTTTACATTTATGAAATTTGCAGAGAGAAACAAGGAAAATGAATAAATTAAAAACTAAGCATAAGAGATCTTTAAGCTTTTGTTTAGATATGCATTTGAATATTATAGTCTTATTTAGTTTATTAAGGCATTGAACTATTGTACAAGTTTAATCAAAACAATCCAATTTATGAATTAGATTTAATTACAGTAAATTGAAAATGTTAGTAAAATAGGGTTCATTGTATTGGTGATACCTAAAGAATTGCAAAGTCTTTAATTTATACTTAAAACTAAAAAAATGCAATGTGAATTAGCCTCCATTTTGCCAAAATCTATAAACACTTTATATTTATTAAGTTTAATTATCTAACTATTAGCTTCCTTAATGATTGTTAAAGTAAGAATTAAATGTCACATTTATAAATCAAAAGGAATAACCACTATATGAAAAGCAGAGAGTAAAGTACTAAAAATTGTACAATTATATAGATGAGTGCAATGATATATGAAGATCAGCAATTATAAAACAATGTATTCAATTATTCATTTTTTTTTCAAAATTATGAGATGGCATACAATTAATTTTAATCATAAATTTGTAATTTATGTATAAATTGTTGAAATGATAAAAGATTTGAGTTGCTTTTTGCGTATAATTAACTATTAAATGACCTCACTAAAATGCTTTATGACTACTATTTATTGAAAGAAGCAGTTTGTAAATTTAAAATCCCTGTTAAGCCATACTATCATGACTTTATGAAATACTGCTTACCCCCACCCTCCCCAAAAAAAAAAAAATGTAGAAGGTGAGGTAGCTTTCATGTGTGAGTTTAGAAGAAGCAAATCCCTAGAAAACGTTCCATTAATTTTCGCATGCAGAAAATCTGTTAGAGCCGATCTCAATGAATGAGACAGTAATGAAAAAAACCAAACTCGTTATGAAGCAGTTTAATTATTTGATTTCATAATTAAAAGAGACAAGTGATATCGCATGCAACCAATAATTGGGACTTTAAATGGGTTCGGAAACATGCATTAAATTTTTAAGACGGTTTTAGTTCCACCTAAATTAAACAACTACATTTGCCTGATGCCCCTGAAATTTAAGCTAAAACATGAATTTCTTGTTTACCTAATTTCTCGATGCATTGGGTCCTTCATGTTGACTTCCAGTGACTATATATATTGATTTTTGAGGTCAAAGAAATTAAGTGTACTTTATTTCTTTTTAATTACGTAAAATATTTGTTTATTTCTGCCATCAAACCTACCAGGGTATATGATGGAATCTTGTGAACTTACCCATATAGAGTCGAATCATAATTCATAAACATAAAAATAAATAAATAATAGCTAAGCAGACTAGACTAGAAGACCAGTCTGTAGGACAAAAGACTTTCAAGATGTTTCGTGTTGATAAGTTTTTCCTTGAACCGATGGTCGCCCATACAACTTAACATGACAAATTAATCAAGGTAAAAGCGGTCATTGAGAATTCTTTCTCTTGTTGAGAATTATATAATTGCCTCATTAGACAAAAAGTGATTTCTCTTGTTAGGTAAAACGGATTATGACCTTTTCTATTCTTGTGCATTACTCTTTGTAACTTTCTTGATTTTGGTCGCATAATCATGGAAGATATGGGAGACCCAAATAAACGCAATTGACTAAATATAGTATGTATAAAGTTGGTATGTTGAAAATTAACAATTACAATACTCCTATTGTTAAAATGAGAAAGACTTTTTTTTTTATTTCTGAAAATTCTATCATCCTCGTTTACCAGACATGGGAACGTGAGGATTCCTTTTCATTGGCACGAAGTCTTTTTTGTGATCACAGCTGGGTTGTTTGGTGAAGCCATTCATTGTGCCGTTTTATGGCGACCCCACAACAAATATTGCAGCTGCAAACTCGTAAGATATAAAGCTTAGCCACCATGTTCAAACCTTTTGAGTACGATATGTTGGGGAGTTAAGGAAGTTATTAAGGAGCACGGTGGCGAGTTGGGCATGGCCGATATCAATTCCAATCTGACAAGATAAGATGGATGCCAAAGAAAGAATCCTTTCGACCATCCATTTGTATCCGGTGACATAGACATAGAACCGAAGCTGTAGGAGCTTATCGATAAACAATCTATGTCATTGAAGGCAAGAGAAAGTGTTCACCAAATTTTGACCAAAGATGATGGGGAGACCATTTGTGCACTACCATTGAGTAGGTTACAATCTGCTGATATATATACTGCTCTGGCATTATGATAAATGTGACAATTACACAGTTCATAGTGGCTATAAACTGTTAATGCATATATAGTAACAAACGGGGCAAGAAGCACAGGGTGTAACCAGAGAGGACAGGGTCACAGAAGAGACGAGAGATAGAACGCTAGAGAAAACCACGTGGAGTAAACTGTGGAAACTTAATGTACATAGTAAGATAAAGGTGTTTGCATGGAGAGTTTGACAGGGAATTTTGCCAGTGTTTGGAAACTTAGCAAAGCCAAAAATGGAAGTCTCTCCGATTTATTCACGGTGTGGAGCAAGTGTAATAACAGGCTTGCATGCCCTAAAGCTGCAGAGGTGTAGCTCAACCCAGAGTTATTACATGCGGAAAGTGATTACTTCGATGATGAGCAGTCTATTAAAAATGTGTCGCCAATTTTTAAAATTGTCTATACATATATCAAAACACAAGTTTGATAACCTTTTATAATTAAATTAGTTAATTTTAAAGAATTAAATGAGATTTTGATTTTGTTATAATTAAATTAATTAAAGATCCTCTCACCAACCTTAGTCGCCAGCTCTCCTTCTCATAGCCCTTTTTCTTTGTCTTCTTTGACTAAATCCTACCTCTGTGTCCACTTTCCATCGTCACGGGCAAGTTTGTTCTGCCTCTCTTTTTCCTTCTTTTTTTCCATTTTTTTTCTTTCCCCTTTTCCCCTATCGATCGTTGTCTGTGACAAACTCTTTTTTGTTCCCCTTTTTCTTCCTTTCTTCTCATTTTCCTAAGAAGTGAGCTGATAAAAAGAAAGAGGGAAAGGAGGGGAAGAAGAAACTGTTTTCTACAACGACGATTTTCACCAATCCGTGGCTAGATCCAAGTGTTTTTGGAAGAAAAAAAAAGAGAAAAAAGGGAAAAGAAAAAGATATGATTTGAGGAAAAATTAAATCGATTGAAAGATAGAGGAGAAACGTGTTTTTTTTTTTTTTGCACCTATAGCGACGGCGGTCGACGTTAGCAACCGACCACCGAAAAATGGGTTCTAGAAAGAGAGAGACTGAACATCAGTTGATTCGTGAGGGAATGACATGCGAGAAAATGAAGGAAAGAGACGGTGAAAGCTAGAGATGTTGGGCATTTTAGTTAAACAAAATTAATTATTTTCTTTAAGTACAGAAAAATTGTTACATATACTCTGCGTTTGAAGATGAATTCAAGCAATGCTTTGTTATACATGATGTAGAAAATATCTAGAATTTAAATAAAGAATTAAATTGGTTGATAGCAACTGAACATTTAACTTAACTTATTGATTAATGTATTATTTTTTAAAAATAAAAATTAAATTTGAATAGAAAATATTTTTCAAAAAAATTCTCTTTTTAATTTGAAAATATCATTATATTTCGTAACACATGATGATATAAATATCTAAAACTCTTACTTAATAATCCAACTTACCAAATTTCTTTATTTGTTTATTTTTAGTACTTCTTTCCTTTGCAAAGAATTAAAACTGGGTATCCTATTATGGTGGTCGGTAGGACGTTTTGGGCTTTGAAGATTGTAGAAGGACAATGGGAAGCTAATTTTCAACCTAGCCTTAAGTCTTGCTCACTCTAATCTTTTCACTTCCTGTGATTAAATCTTTAGTTAAAAGAAAAATTTACAACATTTAATCAAAATCGACTCAATTGATATAATTTAGGAAATAATTAGTCCTATTATTGAACTCCATACGGGATAGGGAGACCTGTAATCTTCAACACATTGGCGTATTGCCATTTACTCGCTTTAACTTAGTGGACCTATCCTGCTTCTATCCTGAAATTATGTGCCTTCCTTTTTGGTAAGAGCCTTTAATGCCTCAATGCATCAATTATTTGATGTATGGATGAAATTGAATCATTCCATTCTTTCTTTGGTCAAAGTTGGAACCATTCAAATGCAAACAGGAAAGCACACGATTGGGCTATAAGTAGATCTATGGGTCCAGCAATTCTGATATTGGATCTTAGTCTATGCTTCAACCGGATCCTGTCTTTCCTTTCCCCTGGGTAACCGGCCTCTAATTGACTATCCCTACAGTGGGAGCAGTAGATGTAGTACCATCATAGCATCACATACATGGTCCACTTAGCAAAATGAGTCACAAGACATGACTCACGTCTTGATCTCCCTCATAGCCATGGAAGAAACATAGGAGCTAAAATTAACAGTGTCAAACTATATTCGATCGGGGAAGCCGTTCCGTGTTCTCTTAATCCTACATTAAAAGAGAACAAAATTATAAAAACACGTATTATGTTATTATGTAAATGATATAAGATGACGCCATACGCAGTGAGTGAGATGGTGTCAGCCATTGCTAGTTTGGAGTCATAATTACCGTGAGAAGATGATGGCTGATCAGGTGGTGGTGGCGTGCCAAGCCCAAGACCATGGCAATCCGCTCCCAGAGAACCTGAAGCGAAGCAAAGCATTGAAGGAGTAAAGCAAATGAAGCGAATTTCTTAAACAAGCTATTAACCATAAACAATATTAAATATGACAGTTTTCGCGTTTTGTTTGTAATACAGATTACTTTGTTAGCTAGAATGAAACCTAAAAGTAATTCTGAATTCTGATACCATTGACCTGAAAGAGATTGCTTAACCATATATACTAAGTAATTTTCGTGTATTTTGTTCCTTTGTCAGGATCCACTTTTGTCTTTTGGATCAGATTTGGTTTTGTTGGTTCAGCTCTTTGAACAGAGATACTGTCTGGTTTTTTGGGATTGTTGTTCTGGGTTTAAGATGCTGGGATGTTTTTATGAATGTGCGGAGGTTTTTGTGTTTATGATGTCCAGGATATGGGGTGTTTTTGCAGTCGGGGGCTGTATCAATTGTATAGATTTCAGGGTAATCTCTTTTGGGAGGATCTTGTAATGATATTTTGCAACCTAAAACTATCAGAGCAAAATCTTCTTCTGACTGACCAGAGGTGCAATTCAGTTCCTTCTGTTATGAACACAACTTGAACTTTAAAAAAAATTATATACTAAGAACATTACAGTCCTTGAAGCAGGGTAAGGCTGTCATATTCAGCAAATTATCAGAGCCTGCATCGCAATCGCATTCGTAGCCAGTCCCATTTGTCTTACAGGTCCCATCACCGCACCAAGCAAAGGTACAAGCTACATAAATAATAAGTAAATAACCCGTTAAAGCTTAGTTAATAGCACTACAAAATATTTATTCATGCACAAGAAAGGTAATCACTGATCATGAAGTTGAATTATTAAAAAAAGGTTGTCCTTGAAGCATACGGTTGGACAAATTAAACAACGGTGGGGGCGGCGACGGCGCTGAAGGGCTCCCTGTGCCGCAGCCAAAGTTGAGTGTGCCTACATATATATATCGTTTAGAAACTACATAAATAAATCTAACCCAAACAGGAAAAATCAGTGCTGAAGGAAAAGAAGTAAAGGCTGACAAGCTCACAGTTGGGAATGATGCAGGGGGGAAGCTCGACAGGACCAATCCGGAACTTCTTCCAGCCAGAATAGCAGTCGCATTCAAAGCCAAGCAATGAACTATCTGCGTGACAAGTCCCTTGACCACAGTTTACAATGGCGCAAGCGTTAGCTGCACAAAATCATGACCCGCAATCATGATTGTCAACAAACAGGACGTAATCAAATATTTTGCATTCGGATACCTCGAGAAAAACTACATCGTAATAATAATTTAAGCTGCCTGGTTGTCACCTGATTGTAGATTTGAAATGAACGCTATAGAATTGGCTTCCGAGCTCCTGAAGAATGACAAGAGTAGAAAAACATTGAAGACATAGATTTTAGAAACTTTCATTTTAAAAGTAAGCTCCATGAGATTGAATAGCATGACAGGGAGGTTAGGAATATATACAATGTACAGCTTGGAATGATGCTACAAGTCTTTTATGGAAGAATGGAATCTGCTGGCATTGTAAGCAAAGGATCAATTACAAGATCAAGAGAAAGTGTTCACATCTGCATTGTTGATTTCGATTTTTTCTAGGAACGAAAAGGCCAGGGACGGTACAGGGTAGAGACAACTGCCTGTTGGCTGAGCCTGGGGGCAACATGTATATATGGGAAATTTTTTAATTGTTTTGATTTCACCATAACAAGGCAATTTAAAAGTACTTATAATGAATAGATTGAGCGAGTAATTAAGTTGCCTTTCTATGCTTTTTAAAATTGCTTTTTTATAATGAAATCTTTTCATTGTAAGTACTTTTAAATCGTTTTTTGTAAATTACTTTTTTCATTATTAAATGGAATCTGGTGACTTATTTTTTTTTATTTCTTCATAAAAAAGCAATTTAAAAGTACTTAGTATAATGAACAGATGGAGCCAGTAATTAAACATTATATTAATTTATTAATTATGACAGTGAGCGGAAAATTGACCGATTTCATGCTGTAAATAAATAAATTAACGGCTATTTTTTGAGTAAAAAGGGTAATACTAATAGCATACGCAAACACAAATTCTCATCTCACAGAAGCTCCACAAACGAAGCTTAGACCCAATAGGATTAGACGAACTGAGCCCGAAATTTTGTTGAGCTCAGCTTTAGGTCTGCACGGCCCAAATTGTATATAACCCGAATAGGCCTGTTCAGATTTTTCTTCGTGTCCGAACCGAATCGACCCCTTTTTATTACACTGCGACGCAAAATCAAAGGCGCTAAAGAAACAAGAATGGAGGAGAGCACAACTTCTGCTTCCACCGAAGCCGTCGTAGAAGCCCTAAGGGCCAGAGGCTGGTGTTTCGGCGATTGGGACCAAGTCAAAGCTCTCATAGTAATTCACACCGCTTTATCCGACGATGTGGGCACTTGTTCGGTTGCCGATTTGGTTGAATCGGAGCTCGTTAACATGGACCTTAGATCCATCGGAGGCAAATCCTTACCCGACCCGAACCTCCGAAAATCTTCATTTGTTGTTGGTCCCAAAGTCCTCCAGGTAAACGTCCTTCCCCTTTTTCTTTTGGATTTTGCTTTAGCTTATTCTGAATTGATTTTTGAAATCTTTTCATTAGATTTCGTCAGTAAGGGATATATCTAGAAGCAGCATATCCGAATTTTCGGGGAATTCGAGTAGTTTACGTTTGCTGAGATTGTGTCTTACCGATGGACATAGTGAGATAACTGCCATTGAGTACTCTCATGTTCCAGCAATTCCCGACAATGTGGTTCCTGGTACTAAGGTATTCTTACTTGTCAGTTCCACTGAGCTATGCTTGTTTTGTTAGAATAATTTTTGCAGAATTTGAAACCCGTCTATATGCTTACCACGCATAGTAATTCGATTTCGACTTCCTTAATTGGACATGCGACAATCATATAAATATATTTGTTCTCGAAATACTGTATACATGGCATAATCCTCTGTAATCTGTTGACTCTCTCTGGCAATTCTAAATGATATTATATGTACTTAACCTGTAACTTTTGATGAATTTTCTTACTACTATATTTAAATTCTGGTTTGCAGATTCGTTTGGAAAATAAAGCCATCATACACGGTGGCATATTATGTTTGAACCCTAAAGTGGTAAATTTGTTAGGAGGTGTTGTTCAATCGCTTTATGAAGAATGGGAGATGAACCAAAAATATTCAGGTTTCTCCCGTTCATCATTAAGGTCATCTCAAAGTGGTACTGGTGGTCCTCCCCCATTTGAGAAGTTGCAAATCGAGGCACCTTTGAGCAGTAGGCTTGTCCAACAAGGCAGATCATCTTGTGAGCATTCTCAAGCTTTTTAAATGTCTTGTATTTAATCTTATATCCCACTTGCATTGCCATTGTTTTTTCTTCTTTGTGTACTACTTAAGAATTTTTCTTTCAGAATTTGTTCCCGCTCTTTTTAGGAGCTTTGGTAACTATATAGGCTTAACATCTAATCTAAGAGTAACAAAGGAGTAGACAGAGAGCCCGTGGCTGTAATGTTTGTTGTTGACTACAATAATCAAGCTGTTAACACCTATTGGTATAAAATCTATTGTTTAATGTAGATGATGAATCAGTATTATCATAGAAAATTTATGTGATATAGATGCCACTTTAACAAGATATGAAGTGAAACCCTTTTGCACCTAGACCACTTTTTCCATAGTGGACACATTTAAGATGTGCTATGGACTCTTTCTTCTTGTTGGCTCTGACAGGCATTAAGAGAATTTCATTTCTTTGATATCTTCCTTTCATTCTTCTTGGGAACAATCATTGAGGGATTCGTAGAAAAGGAAACATTGAATTTGATACTTGGTGTTCAG